TTTTCAATACTGTAAAGAGGTGTTCTATAGCAGATTTAGCTAATGCAACTTGTCTTTTATCTCTTGATTGTTGCTTCAATGAGCATTGATTGTGGATCCAAGCCAGACAAAATCCTTGACAACATCAACATTCTCTCCATTTATCACTTATCTCAAGACCTATTGGTCTTTTTGTGAGCATTTTGGTTGTCTTGACATTGAGTTATAATCCATATTGAGGGCTTCAACACTTGATCTTAATCAGCAAGTGCTTTAAGTTCTCCTAGCCTTCAGTAAACAAGATTGGGTTGTTTGCATATTTCATGTTGTCAATAACCTTTCCTCCAATCTGGATGCTGCCTTCTTCTTCATATCAGTCAGCTTTTCTGATTATTTTCTACGCATACTTATTGAATAACTGTGGTGAGAGGATACAACCCTGATGTACACCTTCTCTGGTTTTAAACTGTGTTCCACTTGATCCTTATACACATTCCTCATGAGCATAAATGACGAAGTGCTGTGGAATTCCCAAGTTTCTCAAGGTTATTCGTAGTTTGTTATGAAAAACAGTCTATTGTCTTTGCATAGTCAATAAAACACAAGTAAACATCTTTCTGGTATTTTGTGCTTTGAGCCAAGATCCATCTGACAGCAGCAATGATATCCCTTGTTCCACATCCTCTTCTAAATCTGGCCTGAAACTCGAGCAGCTTCCTGTCAATGTACTGATGCAACTCTTGTTCAATGATATTCAGCCACATTTTACAGGCACATGATATTAATGATAGTGTTCTATTGTGTTGGGTCAAGATTCTTTGGAAGGGGTACAAATGTGGATCTCTTCCAGTCAGTTGGCCAAATAGCTGTCTTCCAAATTTCCTGCAATATATGAGTAGATGATTGCAGTGCTTCATCAGCTTGTGGAGACATTTTAATTGGTATTCCATCAATTTCTGGGGCCTTGATTTTGCCTAATGCTTTCAGTGCAGCTTGGAATTCTTTCAAACCATTGGTTCTTGCTCATATGCTAGTTTCTGAAATGGTAGATGTTGACTAGTTCTTTTTTGGTACAATGACTGTGAATATTTTCCATCTTCTTTTAGTTCTTCCTATATCACTCAATATTTTTCCCATAGAATCTTTCAATCTTGCAACTCGGGGCTTGAATTTTTTTCTTGAGTTCTTTCAGTTTAACATATACTGAGCATCTTCTTCCCTTTTGCTTTTCCAAATCTAAGTCTTTGTACATTCTTTTATAAGCTATACTTGTTTTCTCAAGCTGACCTTTGAAGTTTTCCCTTCAGCTCTTTGACTTCATCCCTTTTTCCATTTGCTTTAGATTCTCTACAAATAAGATCAAGCTTCAGAGTCTATTGTGACATTCACTTTGATCTTTTTTTATCTTTCCTATCTTTTTAATGAACTTTGCTTTCTTCATGAGTGATGTTCTTGAGGTCTTCACACAGCCTATTAAGTCTCCTGTCATTATTGTCCAATGCATCTTGTTCAATGTTCAATGTTCTTAAGTTGGTCTCTATATTCAGGTGGAATAGACATGTAGTCATATTTTGGATCTAATGGACTTGTTTTAATTTTTTTAGTTTTATCTCAAACTTGCATATGATGATCTGTTCCACAGTCTGCCCCTTGCTTGGTTGTAGCTGCCAATATTGAATTTCTCCATCATCTCTTCCATTTTATTTCTATATATTCCATCTGGAGAAATCCATGTGCATAGTTGCCTTTTGTGTTGTTGAAAATGATATTTGCTGTCAACAAGTCATTTTGCAAAATTCTATCATGCAATCTCCAGGTTAATTTCTAACACCAAGTCCATATTTTCCAACTACTATTCGTTCTTCTTTGTTTCCAACTTTTTCATTCCAATCAATGCATCTTCATTGCATATTTGATCAATTTCTAACTGAAGTCTTCCGTAGAATTCTTCAATCTTTTCAAATCTTCAATTTTATTCTTCAAATTTCCCAATTTCTTAATTCTCACAATAGGTTCTATTATAATACCATTTGATAAAAGAAATGTAAGCATAGAGCAGTGAAGAAACTTCTCCAGGAATAAAAGCTACAAAATGGCAGACCTGGATTTCCCCCCCAACAGTTTTATTGGCACATATCATACAATTCAGCAGTTCAATCACATCAAGAAAAGTTGTACAATCATCACTACAATCAGTTTTAGAAAAATACTTTCTTCATTCTTGTACCTTTTGTTATTAACTTTCCATTTCCCTCAACTTCCCTTGTCATAACCCCAAAGAGCCATTAATCTAGTTAGTGTCTCTACAGATTGGCCTATTCTGGATTTAATATACAGAAAAGACATTAAAAAACAAAGAAACAAACAAAAACTAACAATAATAACTATAATTCAAATGTGAAAACCCAATTAAAAAATAAAGCAGAAAATATTATAAACTAGAAGAAATGGAAATGGATCATAAGTAAAATCAAATCAAATGATAGGGTGCTAAATTTTAGCTTAACTGCATCTGCAACAATCTACTTTCCAATGCATTCTGCATGTTAGCAAGACTATTCACATCCATGGTCTATGGTCAGAGGGGACTCACCAGGGACTTTAAAATGGGTCAAAATGAATATCAAATGATAAAGTATTATATTGTCACCTAACTATGTGTTCCTCAATCAATTTTACAATTCTATCTATCTGATAACAAGGCTATTAACAGCCCTCAATTATGATCCTAGAGGACTCAGAGGAGGCTTAATCTACGTGTGGACACTGCAAATCGATTTTGGGCTTCCACTGTCATCCATAGCCTTCTGAAAACCAGGTGTTCACAATTTAAGCTCTGATACTATTCCCTCCTTTAAATTTGGAGTATATTATTTACAATCCTTGGCTCACACAGGGTTGTGTGACATAGTTTAAACGGACATAGTTGATGCCTCTCTTAGAGCACTGTTTTTTGGAAAATAAGCTTTAAGACACATCTTTCTTATAGTTGGCCACCATCTTGTTTCTTTATCACCCTTTGCTATAGCACCCGTATCATCAGTTATATCTCTTCATGACATATTTGGATTTCTGATTTACACTTTCTGACTCTAGAACATTTGCTTTCAAGCACTGTGCAGTGCCATAGTACCTCTCAATAAAGCATTGTTGAATGAATCATTTATGTGCATATATTGTAATAATATCAATAGCTATCATTTGGTAAGCATTGTACTATATGCCCAGCCCTGTACCAATATTTTCTCATTTAACCTCCACTATCCCACTCCCATTCAAAGTCCCAGTGGTGTAGTTGTTAAGTGATGGCTGCGATTTACAAAGTGCATAGTTTGAAACCACCTGCTGCTCCCCAGGAAAAAGACAGGGCTTTTTACTCTCATAAACAGTTACCATCTTGGAAACTCACAGAATCAGTTCTACCATATCCTATAGGGTCTTATGAGTCAGCAATCAACTTGATGGCAGTGAGTTTGGTGAGTATCTCCTTCCATTTGGATATTATTGATTCCAATTTTACAAATTAAAGGAGAACATTAGTGACATTGCACAAGATCTGAAAACTCATTGGTAATGAAAATGAATACGCTTTAGTCTGGTTCTAAAGCCTATCAATGTTGTTAACATTAAACTCACTCCACTGATCCCTACTACTTCAAACAGTCCTCTTGCAATGGGTTATATCATTGACTTGATTAGATAATGAGGTTGATCCATTTAAGTTGATCTAGCCTCATCTGTGGGAGAAAGAAGGAGCTTTCAATGCCTGTAAACCGTTACAGTCTTGAAAACTCACAGGGCAATTCTACCCTGCCTTACAGGGTTTCTATGAGTCAGCATTGACTCTATGGCAGTGAATGAGTGGTCTTCATCTATCTCTGAGTTTTTTTCAGCTCCCTAAACAAAAGTCCAGCATCATTTAAATCTATGTGATCTGAAACCCCACAGAATACGGTGAATACAACAGAATGTAAAAAACAGCATATCCAAACTGGCCTGATAAGATAGAGGATGCTATTTGGGGGGAAATGTAGGGATAGAGAAACATTAGTGGATGATCAACTGAGGAAAGGGGTAGGGGGACCTACATTCCTGGATATTACAAAGTGAAGGAGGTAGAAAAGGAACCCTCCCTCCCCCAATGTATCAAAACAATTTATAAAGTTATCATCTCAGGAAGGAAATAACAAAACACATATATAACTAAAATGTTAAGGCAAGGAGACACAGATGAGTAGAGACAGAATTCCCAGGCAGACAAAAATAAGAAAAGTCTTATCTAGATTTTCAAAAGAAAGATGACAGGGAAAGAAGGAGGGTGGTAAAACATAAACAGAAAGTCACATAAATAAAAGCCACAAATATGTGTATTTCCAATCTGCCAAAATTTTTCCTTTTAAAAGTATCTTTACATATGTGAAGACCAGGAGCAAGGCATCTCCTCAATGGATTATAGAGGTGGGCAGGAGTTGGGGACAGCTTAGTTGGACGTTGTGTAAAAAATGGGTAGAGACATGGGAAAATACCTGTATCAACATGCTACCTACTTATCAGGGAACATTTAAGAGGCCCATTGCTAGTTTCTGTGGTAGGGAAGGTCCAGATTACCAGAACTATGGGGTAGGCATAGAGAGGAAATGCTCAGGGAAGGTACTATTTACAAACTGGAATAGAAATAATTCAATATTTTAAACAACTGTTATAAACCAACTCTGGGTAGAAGGAAGTGGAAAAGGACACCATGAGAGGGCAGGAGGACATAGGGTATACTAAATGTGTTAATTTCAGAGTCTGTAATGTTCATACCATATCACTGACTTTGATATAGAATTGATATAGAATTATTATAGAATTGTAGAATTGTTATAAAATTGATAGAGAATTCTTGCCAATCTCCTGTTTGCTTTTCCCAGCAATTTTTTATCCAGTTTTTTAGCTTAGTAATGATGGAGAGAGAAGCGCTTGTGTTCCTTGTAGTACCTACCCTTTAACTTCAAGGGAAAAAAAGGGAGTGGTGTTACCTTCTTGCAGAGGACCATTTGATGGTCAAACAGGAAGAAGACCCGCTGTTGGTTGCGGCCGTATGGCTGGTAGATCCAGGCCATTTCCCCAGTGTAGATCAGCTCAGAGCTTCTGTCTAGGATGTCTTCACCCTAGGAAGGACACATGATGGTTAGAGGCATTCAAGGAAGAGTGATGACCCCCTGAGACTTGATCTGAAATGTCCACCACTGGCCCACTATATCATCTAACAGAACTAACTAACCCCATACAACCCCTGTTCCCTACCACTCATAGCAGCTACGCCAAGGTGTCAAAAAAAAAACCATGGGAAATATCAGTAAACACACACACACACACACACAAATAAAACAAGAGAAACACACACAAATAAGTAAACATCCAGATCTAAAAGAAATTGCTGAAATTGAATGTTATGGAATTACAAGGAAAATAATTTAGAAGAAGGATGATTGAACATGTAAAACTAATGAATAGCCTGAGAGAAAAGGGGGAAGAATAAGCAAGATAGATACCTCACTGTAAGCCTTACAAGAATAATTCCAAACAGAAAAACAGTTGAGCACTACAATAACAGAATTACACAACCCTATAAAAGAACAGAGAAATAGAATCGAAGAGATAAAAAGTCGAATTAGTGAACTTGAAGTAAAATCTTTAGACTTTAATTTAAGAGAAGAACAAACACCAAAAAATGAAAAGGAAACTGAAAAAATCTTAAGAACAATGTTGGACACAACCAAAAGTAACAACCTATATCTTGCAGGTATTCCAGAAGAGGAAAAAACAAAACAAAAATACATGGACAGAATCATCCAAGAACTCCTCAAAAAAAAAAAAAATTCTGCACTGCATAAAGGATGAAAAGATAACTATCCAAAAAGCTGAATGAATCCCCAAAGTAAACTCCCTGATACATTTTAGTCAAGTTGTCTAACATCAACGACAAGGAAAAAAATCTTAAGATCAGTCAGAGATAAAAGAACAGTCACATATAAAGGGGGAGCAAGATGTTTCAGCAGATCAATAAAGGCAAGAAGATAATGGAGTGACGTATATACAGGCTTCAAGGGGAAAAAAACTGTCAATGAAGAATCTTGTACCCATCAAAATTATCATTCAAATATGACAGAGAAACAAGACCATGACAATTGATACTAAATTAATCCTATGGCCAAAGAAATCAACAACAGTACACAAAGTTGAAACATACCAACATACAAGATAATTCCAGACAAAAAGCAACACACTCAAAGCAACATCCAAAACAAAAAGAAATACAGGAAGAATAATGAAATTAATCACACCACACATATACAAGCACACACAGCACATACAAATACAAAGCAAAATGACAGAAACAGATGCATAACTATCAATAATCTCACCAAATGTGAATGGACTAAATGTACCAGCTTGAAAACAAACAAACAAACCTAGAAAGGAGTACAATGGATAAGAAAACAAACCAACCAATATTCTGTCTACAAGAAACATACCTCAGATACAAAGTCGTAAACATACTAAATATCAGAGGCTGGGCAAAAGCATGCCAAGAAAATGGCAAACAAAAGAAAGCAGGTGTAGCAATATTAATCTCTGAAAATATAGACTACACGAGTATTAAGAAACAAGAATGGACACTATATAAAAATTTAGGGAACCATAACCAAATAAGATATAACCATATTAAACATATATCCACCCAACCAAAAAACTCTTGAAATACATTAAGCAAATCTTTAGAGAATTGAGGAGGGATATAGACAGCTCTGTAATAATGATGGGAGACTTCAATACGACACTGTCAAGGAAAAACACGAGGAAATAAATTCAATAAAGATACAAAAGAGCTCAACAACATAATCAACAAACTCCATGCCCTAGACATATGGAATGCTCCATCCAACAAAAACAGCATATACATTCTTCTCCAATGTACATAAAACATTCTCAAGAATAGACCACAAACTAAGTAACAAAGAATGCGTGAACAAATTTTTAATTGAGATTCTACAACCTATTTTCTAAGATCACAGTACTACAAAATTATAAATCAATAACAAAAGGAACAAACACATGGAGATTGAACAATATAATACTTAAAACGATTGGGTAATAAATCAAATAAGGGATGAAATAAAAAATTATTGAAACAAATGAGAATGATAACTCAACATATTAAAACCTTTGAGACGCAGCAAAAGAAGTATACAGAGGTCTATTTATAGTAATCATTGCACATATGAGAAAAAAAGAGGAAAAATCCAAAATCAACAACCCTAGCATAGAACTTTCAATAATATCAAACCTCCAATAAAAGAAGAAAATAAATCATAAGGATCAGAGCAAAAATAAATTAACTGGAAAACAAAACCATGGGAAAAATCAGGACGCTAAGAAGTTGGTTCTTTGAAAGGATTAACAAAGTGGACTACTGGCAAGCTTAACAAAGGAAAAATAAGAAAATATGCAAACACCTACAATAAGAGATGAAAAAGGTGATATCACAACAGATCCAAAACAAATAAAAAGAATCATAAAACACTACTATGAAAAACTATACTCCAACAAATGTGATAACCTAGATGAAATGAATAGATACCTAGAAATACAACTCAAATTAATGGAGACAGATGTAAACATATTATCCATAATAAAATAAAATATAGAGAACATAAATAAGAACTACTAACCAAGAAAAGCCCAGGAACTGATGGCTTCACAGGGGAATTCTACCAATTATTCAGAGAAGACCCATCACTGTTGCTACACAAACTATTCCAAAATATAGAAAAGTATAGCAAACTTCCAAACTCATTCTATGAAGTGAACATAACTCTGACACCCAAACCAGGCAGACACTACAAAGACAGAAAACTACAGACCAATATCCCTCATGAATATAGACACAAAAATCCTCAACAAAATTCTGGCCAACAGAATCCAACACCATATAATTTTTTTTAACCATGATCAAATAGGATTCATACCAGCGATGTAAGGATGGTGCAACATTAATAAAACAATCAATGTAATCCACCACATAAACAAGGCAAAGAGCAAAATCCACAAGATCATATCAATAAATGCAGAAAAAGCACTTGACAATATCTAATACGCATTTTTGATGAAAAAACATTAAACAAAATAGGAACATAAGATAAATTTGTCAACATAATAAAAACGTAGACCCCAAAAAACAATAGTTGACATTATGCTCATTGGGGAAAAACTAGAAAATACAAAAATTTCCCTGAAAACAGGGACTAGGCAAGGATATTCCATATCACCACTTATTCAACATCATCCTGAAAGTCTTTGCCAGTACCATCAGAAAACAGAAATCAAGGGAATAAATTAGGCAAAGAAAAAGTGAAACTCTCACAATTTGCAGATGATATGATCCTCTATAGAGAAAACCCAAAAGGCTCCACAAAAAGCCTGCTGGAAACAATTGAGGTATTCGGTAGCAGGATACAGTATTAAAGCAGAAATCAATTGGATTACAATATACCAGTGAACAGAACTATGAAAATGATATTAAGAAAAAAATACCATTCACAATAACCACATAAAAGATGAAACGTTTATGAATAAACCTAATCAAATAAATTAAATATCTCTACAGAGAAAATTACAGAGCACTAGTACAAGAAACCATAAAAGACCTACATAAATGGAAGAATATCCTGTGCGCATGGATAGGCAGACTTAATATTTTGAAAATGTCAATACTACCTAGAGCCATCTATAGATAAATGCAATTCCTATCCAAAATGCAAATACATTCTTTAAAGAAATGATAAAAGGAAAACTCATTACCAACGTCATATTGTGGGAAAAGTGTCCCAGAATAAGCAAAGAACTTCTTAAAAAGAAGAAACAAGTAGGAGGCCTTGTACTACTTGACCTAAAATGTACTACATAGCCACATTGTACCTGGTATTGGTACAATGATAGATCCATATACCAATAGAATAGAACAGAAAATGCAGCCACCTGCAGGCTACTGATCAAATAGGGTACAGACAGCCTCTTCAACAAATAATGTTCTATAAATGGGATCTCTATAGGCAGAAGAATGAAATAGGACCCCTTGCACAAAAAGAAAACTCAAGATGGATTGAAAACTTAAATGTGAACCTCAGAGCTATCAATATAATCAATGAAAAAATTGGGGTAAACTTTAAGGGGCTTTTCCAGGGCATATATAGACAACCAAATATATAATAAAGGAAGCACATACAGCAGAAAACAAAATTATGAGCTGCTAAAAATAAACCAGATACACTTTAAGTGTAAAAATACACTTAAAAATACTTCATCAAAAGAGTAAAATGAGAGTCCATAGACTGGGGGAAATATATTTAGCAAAAACACAACAGGCAAGGGTCTAATTGCGAAAATTTACAGAACTCTACAACAGCTCAATAAGAAAATAACAAATGACCCAACAAGTCACGGATTGAGATTCGGAGCTGATCTAGACTTCCATGACTTCATTTTCTTAGCACTATGTTAAATTCTATGCCATTGGATAAATTAGTGACACTATCAATAGCACTACAGTATATCCCGGGGGATGATTGATAGTTCTTTGTTATAAAATGATAATGAGGCCTCTAAAGTAAACCAGAGACATGCATAATCCAAATGAACGAATTCTGGGCTCCCACTTAATTCTAGCCCCAATCCAAGATCCGTTACTTCTTAGGACATGGCCCTGCTCAATGCTCGTCCTCGTGAAGAGATCACTGAAGATATGGGTGATACATCAAACTATGGTGAAGAAAGATAATAATGCCTGTGGTAGTCACCTAATCTGGTGTTAATTTAGGGATTAAGAGTGTAGGGGTGGAGTGTAGGCTGTCAGTGTGGAGATAGCCAATTAGACTTCTGTGTGGGCATGGCCTTCTCCTGAGAATTCTGGGAAATCTGGTACTTCCTCCTTGGAGGCGGAAGACACCTCTCTCTCTCTCTCTGCTACTCCCTGGGGTACATTGCAGAAGATAAGCCACATGGTTGCAACCAGACCTTGGAAGCCGGAGAAGCCACAGAGAGACCCCTGCCAGGGAGAGGCATATCCATTGCACTCCGGATGTGCTGACCCCTGCTATATAATGTATTA